TTTTTTCATATTTTTCCATTGTATTTTAAAATGAAGTTTATTTTAAATTGTAATTTTTGTTAGGTTATAAGAGAACTAAGAATGTGGTTCAGGCCGGGCTCGGTGGCTCACACTTATAATCCCAGCACTTTGGGAAGCTGAGGCAGGTGGATCACCTGAGGTCAGGAATTTGAGACCAGCCTGGCCAACATGGTGAAACTCTGTCTCTACTAAAAATACAGAAAATTAGCTGGGCGTGGTGGTGGGCGCCTGTAATCCCAGCTACTCAGGAGGCTGAGGCAGGAGAATCACTTGAACCTGGGAGGCAAAGGTTGCAGTGAGCCAAGATTGCATCATTGCACTATAGCCTGGGCAACAAGAGCAAAACTCTCAAAAAAAAAAAAAAAAAAAAAAAAAAATTTGGTTCAAGGAAATTTAGTTAGTTTTTTTTCCCCCCAAGAGATAAACGTACTGGCTTAATTTTTCTTAGAATGCTTAGTGCTATGAATTCTCATTTCTAACTTCACGAATGGCTACTGCATATAGAATTACAGAGACGGGGGATGATGCCATTTAGTTTGAGTTTTCCTGCACTGGTGTTCTTTAAGCACTGAATATGTATTAAAACTAATGAAGACAAAGGAAAAGAAATAATTTCCTAGTATTTTTTTAAAACAAAACATTTTATTTCCATTTTGTTAATTATCTTACAAGATCCAAACCAAAATAATCTTATAATATCAGCTTAAAGCTGTAAAGGCATAGAAATTAGTCAACCCAAAGAGGATGCACATTTCAAGGCCTTTTCTTCATAGAGGAAAATATTTCAAGTGAAAATCTCCACTGATCTAATTCATCTACTAGCCTATAAGCTGTAATGGATTTAAGGGAAGCCCTGTGATTCCCACAGTCTATCAGTACCCAAAAGAATCATCCCCACATCCATATCTCCAATTTTTGGTCTCTGTTCTAGTCAGAAAGCAGCAGCTCTTATAATCTGGTGAAAATCCACAGGAATACAGGTAGCCACACACACAGAAACATCCCTCTATTAAGAGGACCCATTTGTGTAACACTGGTGATGTAGTCACTTTGAGGCCATCTTCATTCTCCGTTTCTATTGTTAAAAAAGTGGCGAATAGGAGGAAGCATATGACCTAGCTTATGGGAGGAATTATGAAACGCAGCTGGCCGCCTCAATTGTCTGGTTTTTTTTTTCTTTGAGACAGAGTCTAGCTCTGTCGCCCAGACTGGAGTGCAGTGTGGCGCGATCTCAGCTCATTGCAAACTCCGCCTCCCGGGTTCACGCCATTATCCTGTCTCAGCCTCCCAAGGAGCTGGGATTACAGGCACCCACCACCATGCCTGGCTAATTTTTTGTTAGTAGAGACCAGTTTCACCATGTTAGCCAGGATGGTCTCGATCTCCTGACCTCGTGATCCGCCCGCGTTCCAAAGTGTTGGGATTACAGGCGTGAGCCACCGCACCCGGCCAATTGTCTGTTTTAATGCACAAGAGTCAAACACATCCTTAAATTTACCATTCAGACACTGGATTCTTCTATTTGAGTACATCCTTGTATTTTAGTGATTCATGGCTCTTGTAACCAAATGGAACCACAGCTTTTGGAGCTAACAAGAGCCCCCATCTTCCCACCTGCCACAGACAATGGCCTCAGCCTGTTGCAACAGACCATTGTTCAATGTCCAGCACTGAAATCATTGATCAGGCAATAAATATAGGAAGGCTAATTAATTATGATTGTCCAGACTTAGTCTGGAGCCTGGCTCCAGTAATCAAGATTAGCCAGAGACATGGAAGTCAGTTTGTCACTGGTCACCCCACCCTCTGTTGCCACTTGAATGTGTTGCCACCTGAATATGTTGCCACCTTAATATTTTTTTAAGACAAATTTTTAAAAACAGACAATTAAGGAATAATGTGAAGTGTGAGGCTTTACTTACCACCAGCATTCAGGTCGTCTAATCTTCCTGCACCCTGCAGTTGCGAGACGGCCGTGTCTCAAAATTAAACCCTAGCAGGTAACAGATCAAGCCATCCCCCCCCCACCCCACCCCCGCCCGGATCTTACATACAAAGGTTGTAAAAGATTTCCAGTCTATCTCTGGATCTAAGGGAAAAAATAAAGATTGTAAAAGATTGAATAGAAGATAAAGACTCCTTCCATTTTATGGAAATGCACCATAGATAAAACCAAGACTTCCGCTTTAGTGCATCAAAATGTTAAGCCTGGGTAATCAAAAGCTTGTTTAAATCTACATTTGACCTAACACAAGTGATAATTCAACCAGTGTAATGTCTGTTCAGATAAGGGCACTTAGTGAGTAACTGGTAACTAAAATTACAGAAAAAAAAGAAAGTAAATCCAATTGCTAAATAGATAGCATGCATGTGATATGTCAGCTATTAGATAGAAAAAGATCTGCTTACAACCTTTAATTAATGATCACATTCTATCCAAGGAGGGGAAAACGTATTTGCCTAAACCTCCCCAACCGTCCACAGACACATCAAGAAAGTTCAAGACGTAATCCTAAGTAACTCAGTGTATGAAATGGTCTCATTTGAGCCATATGCACTTAACATATTTGTCTATTTGAGATAAAACCCAATTTGAAATTACAATGCTAACAAGCCACTCTGTATCTAGACAAACAGAATCCAAAGCCCCCAAATCTGAGGTTTTTGGTCTAACTATTCACTTGATCTACTAATAACCAAACAGACTGACTTGCCTTAGTCACTATCATAATCAGTCTCACGTGATAATGAGATGATCAAGGGTTAAATTGTAGTAAAAGCAGATAGGTCAAGATAGGTCAAGGTATTCTCCAACTTGATATTCTTCAAGCAAAACCAAGAAGCCAGTATCACTCCTTCTTCTTTCCGCAAGTATTCCTGAGAGCCGACTCTGTGCCAGGCAGCATGGCACACACGAAGGAACACCGCTGGTCAGCACAACCAGGCATGTTCCCTGCCCCTGCAAAGCATTCAGAACAGCCAGGAGAACACTAAACCCACACATGCAAAAACTGCTGGGACGCGTCCATGGTGCTACAGAGCCTAGAGTGGCAGATGGGATTACCTGGAGGTCAGGAATTGGAGCTTAATAAGAAGAGGGGAGGCAAGGGCCATGGTGCTGAGTCATTCTTAATTAGGGAGTCCTTTTGGAAAGACATTTGTGTTCAAAGCCTGAGTGATAAATTTTGCTAGTTGAAATGAAAACTAAATACATTCCAAGGATACATGTAAGTGTATTGATTTGTCTCCAAATTGATAACTGGGCAGTATGCCAACAAGTTCAATGATATTCTGGATGTCATTTAAGTGATTTTTTAAAAGGAGGTTGTCTGGCTGCTTCAAGACGGTTGGCAACTTGTAAAGAGGAAAAGGATAAGGTTATGGAAGAAGGAAAAAGAGAATGGAAGGAATATTTTTAAATAAACAAATTCAAATTTACTGGGAAGGGATTAAATGCCGCCGTATTTCAGGGTGAACAGTTAGTAAGATCTGAAGGAGTACAAAAGCAGGGGGGCGGCGGGGAATGTCACCCAACTGCAAGTTTTTAGCAATTATACCATAAATTATTTTCATCACTAGACTCTCAACACTGGTTACCGAGCCACTTTGACAGTAGCTGGCATCAAAACATTATGTGCATACAGTAAGTATTAAAATGCGACTTGGATCTCAAAAGGATAGTACATTCCTCAGGCCAGAAGCTTAAGCATCTCTTAGAAAATCTACATAGCAGAGGCACAGTTAGTACTTAATATCTAGGGACCATGGATTTCACAAGTAGTTATGAATCAAAGACTGGAGGCAAAAACTATATTATTAAGTGCAGTCTCTCAGTCCAAATTAGACTAGGACAGCTAAAGAGGTCAAGGCAACTAGGTCATGGTTTTAGGTTCCTTTTTTTTTTTTCCCCCCATATTGTAAACATCCACGCCTCCTGAGATAACTCACGTACTCTATCCTCAAATTTGACACACGGCAAATTTAACTATTAAGCATGGTTATTCACATCTTTCTACAAGGTATCACAAGGGTACCTTTGTGATACAAGGGTATCACAAAACCAGTAGAGTGAAGCCTTGCTAATGAACACACGTGCTGGAAAACATATCTAAAATACCACGACCAGAACAAGCCACCGTCTTGGCGGCTGTCCTGGCCCACAAGAAATATTACAGCCTTGAAGACTGAAGTCGATAAAATGCAGTCGTTTCAGCACTGCGTCCAGGGAAGAGTACCCGGAATGCTCGCTACACTCTGACCGCATCCTTCGAGAACTTCTAGCCACTCTAGTGTGTGTTTGGCCAACTGAGTCCGCAGGCAAAGCGCTGAGCAAACGCGAGGGCGCTGGCTGGTTCGCGAAACCTGTCATTCCTTTTGGAAACGCAGCGCCTGCCCAGGTTTTCCCTGGCTCCGAGCGAGCTACACACCAGGCTTTCTCTGCCTTGGGAAGGCGGCGTCTGCTCGGGCCGCTGCCGCAGAACTGGGTACCAAACCCGCTCGCTTCAGGCACCGCTGGCATCCAAGGCGGTACGCGGCGGGGAACCTGAGGGTGCCTGGGCTACCTGGCTTCACAGCTGACTTTCCGCATCTCCGAGCTTCGGAGGCCCGGCCCGGGGTCCATTCTCCACGGATCCCCCAGCGCAGCTCATCCGCCTCGGGCTGGATGGCTTCCACCGGAAGAGTGCGGAGAAAGGCTCAGTTGCCGTGGGCAGGGCGCGGATTTTATTACTGCGGATGGCGCAGTCGCCTCCCCTGGAGACCCGCGACAAAGACGCAAGCCCCCCGCCGCGCTCGCGGCTGCTCTGGCCCCGCCCCGGCGCAAAAGACCCTGAAAAGCCTCCAAAGAGGGGTTCGCGCTCCCGAGTTTGCAGATGGGGCTGGACGGGCCGGGAAGTTCTCTCGGCGGAAATCGGAGGAATCCCCCACCCCCACCCCAAAGATCCGCGCCTCCCGGCGCAGGTGGCCCGGCGCGCCCATACCTTGGTGGCGGGGTCCGCGGCAGCGATGGCGGGGTCCCCGGTGGTGTCTGGCGCCGCCTCGGCCGAGGGGCCACCGCCGCTGGGCTCGGGCTCAGCCGGCGTGGAGCTCCCCTCGGGCGGCTGCTCCGGGCTGCGCTGCTCGGTGGAGCTCCCGGCGCCCATGGCTCCTTCGCACTTCTCCCGCGCCCAGCCGCTGAGTTACGCCTTCCCCAAGCCGCAGGGGCAGGGGCAAGAGCCAAAAGACGCGCGCCAGCGAGGTCCCAAGAGCGCCTTCCTTCGCCGCCAGCCTCCTACGAACGCGCCCAGCCTGCGAATGAAGGAGACGCGCTCGCGGCAAACTCCTTAAAAGAAAAGGGGGGAAAAAAAAAAGGCCACCTCTTAGCCTCCGCCCCCCTCCCCCTGGTTTTTCCCTCGCTTCATCACATGAGCACAGCCCCAGACACGCCTTGCAGCAGCATCTGCCCCCAGGCTGCCGGGACCAGAGGCGCTGCGACGCGCCAGCCCAGGTCCAGGCAGCAGCCCACCCGGCCCTCGGGCGCCTCCCGTTTCTAACAGGGGGACGAGAGCTGCGCGGACGACCCAGGGCCTCAGAAGGCAAGAGAGCAGGGGAGCAAAAAGCCCGCCGGGGACACTGGATTCTCTGGGGTTTATTAAATGATGGATCACCCAAGGCAGGAGCTTCTGCTGCAGCCGACTTTCAGCTCGCCCAGGAGCAAGCCCGAGTCCCCATTTGCTTTCCTGCAGATTGTGTTTAACTCCAAACATTTGTTCCAGCCTCCTCCCCATTAGCAGGAGAAAGGCAAGCGCTCCCTGGCTCCTCCTGAGTCCGACCATATTTGGGCACCTCACGTGGCAAGAGCAGGGAACCGAGAGGTTAACGCAGTCAGGCCACGGATGAGGTGGGCCACGCAGGCCCACGCTCTCCTATCCTCCGGAACAAGTGATGTCAGGCGATGCCATCAGCAGTGCTAGCCGCCCCCCTCTCCCCGGGGAACGGGGGAAAAGAGGCTGTTACCGGAAATGTGCCCGTCCTTCTTTGAGGGCCTGTGCTGGAGGTTACGCATCCAGGCCACCTCTGGGCGATGCTGAAACATGACAGCATAGATCTGTTCCTTTGCCATCAGCCTTTCTCAAAATATGAAGATTTGAAATAATGTCAGTCCAAGTGGCTTGCATCCTTTCCTTTCCGACCCTTGAATGTAATATTTATTATATGAACATGGCAGCCAATCAATAAGTATTTGAACTAAATTAAATTTGTAGCTGGATTGCTTGGAGTAAAGCATTAAGGCTTTGGGGCTGAAAAAAAAAATTTATTCCAGTTGTAACTGACAACCGAGCGCCCCCGTTTTCACAAATACTTGGAATCTCCATTAACAATGAAGAAACCAACCTGGTTAACACAGCGAGACCTTGTCTCTACAAAAAATTAAAAAATTAGCCAGGCGCAGTGGTCCACCTGTAGTTCCAGCTACTCAGGAGGCTGGGGTGGAAGGATGACTTCAGCCCAGGAATTCGAGGCTGCAGTCAGCTATGATTGTGCCACTGCACTCCATCCTAGTCGACAGAGCAAGATTCTGTTAAAAAAAAAAAAAAAAAAGGAAAAGAAGAAACTTTTGGAATCCTCACACTAAATTCCAGATAAATATCTCATACTCAGATTTAGTACAATTTTGTAGAAAGTTGGTGTAAGCAGTAGTTCAGCACTAGGATGTTTCATGCCTAATGAATTGCATGAATCGAATGGTACCCTGGGAACCATAGGCTAGTTACTCACCATCAAATTTGTTTTCTGAATTAATTTTTTTTTTTTTCTTTTTTGAGATAAGGTCTTGCTGTGTTGCCCAGGCTGGTCTTGAAAAACTGGGCTCAAGTGATCCTCCTGCCTCGGCCTCTCAAAGTTCTGGGATTACAGGCGTGAATCACCATGCTGGGCCTGTTTTCTGAATTAATTATTTTTATGTAAAGGACTACACAAAGGCCAGTTTCCCTGGAGTTTATCCCTTAAGAAACAGTATATTTGCAAAATGCTGAGTTTTAGGAATTTATACACATTCCCCCCATTTTGACTTAAATTTTGACTATTTAGGAAACATTAGAATTCTTATTCTGTACCAGGCACTGTTCAATGCACTTTGCATAGTAACACCGTGGGATAGGCAGTATTATTCTCATTTTACCATTGGCAGGTGGGGGAGGAGTAGGTCCAGAGAAATTAAATTGTGTGCTTGAGGTTTCACACCTGGGAGATGGAAGAGCAGGGAGTCCAACTGGTATCTGCCTTCAGTTCCACACTTCACCACCGCATGGCACTCCTCTAATCAATTGTGTTCTCTCCTCTCAGGAGTGCTAGTGAAACGTGGCATTTGGACCTCACTTAGGATTTTAAGAGCAAAAAGCACTGTTGAAACCTACTCGAGGCTGGGCGTGGTGGCTCACACCTGTAATCCCAGCACTTTGGGAGGCCCGGTTGGGTGGATCACCTGAGGAAAGGAGTTCAAAACCAACCTGGGCAACATGGTGAAGCCTCATCTCTACTAAAAGTACAAAAATTAGCCAGGCATGGTGGCATGCGCCTGTAATCCCAGCTACTCAGGAGGCCAAGACACGAGAATTGCTTGAACCCGGGAGGTGGAGGTTGCAGTGAGCCGAGATCGTGCCATTGCACTCCAGCCTGGGTGACAGAGAGAGACTCCGTCTCAA